CGTGAGGAGGGGGTGCATGGAGCAGGGTGGGGGGGTGACCGTGCCACCCTCCTTTCTCCCCAGCAGCTGCAAAACCTCGGAGCGCAAGAGCCGTGGTGCCAAAGCGGAGGCAAGAAGCCGAGGGGTGGCCAAGGAGAAGACGCTGGAGTGCGGCCAGATAGTCTGGGGCCTGGCCTTCAGTGCAGAGGGAGGGGAGACGGACCCTGCCTGCGCCAGGGGCCTCCCCTGTTTGATCCTGGCCACTGGGCTCAATGACGGGCAGATCAAGGTCTGGGAGGTGCAGACAGGTGAGCGGCCCTTGCTGACAGCAGGACCAGTCATGGCTTCAGGCTGGTTTCTCTCCCCTTGCTTCCCCTTGGAAGAAGATCCCATCTCTGTCCTTCCCCACATACTTCCCTAGGAGCCTCTGCTTTCTCTCAAGCGGGGCTGCCTGTGTGTGAGGGGCACAGCCGTGGCAGGACGGCACTCAGAATGTCCCCTCTCTGCAGGACACCTCCTCTTCAGCCTCTTGGGGCACCAGGACGTCGTCAGAGACCTGAGCTTCGCTCCCAATGGAAGCCTCATCCTTGTGTCAGCCTCTCGGGACAAGACCTTGCGTGTCTGGGACCTGAGCAGAGATGGTAAGAGTGAGTGGGGACATCCCTGGTGCTGTCACCACCCGGCTGAGGGTGGGCCCTACTGCAGGAAAGGGCACAGAAACCCACCTTGGTAGGGGAGATGGTGGGAGAGATTTTTGGGGACAGAATTTGAGGCAAAATGGGAGGATCCTGCAACACGGAGCAGAGCCATCCCCTTCCATGTGGGGCCTGGGAGGTGCAGGAGGGGGTTGCAAAGTAGAGAGCTCGGGATCCGCCCAGGGGAACCCTCCAGCCCCACGTGCATTCCCTGTTGGGGGGGAAAGAATTGTGCTCCCCCCTCATGACCTGTGTGTGTGCTGTCCCCAGGGCGGCAGGTCCAGGTGCTGTCGGGCCATGTGCAGTGGGTCTACTGCTGCTCCATCTCCCCAGACTGCAGCATGCTCTGCTCTGCCGCTGGAGAGAAGTCGGGGAGTCCCACC